TTTGTCATATAACGCTTTGAAACTACTGACGGTCTTGGCCTCCACCACCTTCTCACTTAACTTGTTCCAACCGTCTACCACTCTATTTGCGAAGGTGAATTTTCTTATATTTCTTCGGCATCTGTGTTTAGCTAGTTTAAATCTATGACCTCTTGTTCTTGAAGTTCCAGGTCTCAGGAAGTCTTCCCTGTCGATTTTGTCAATTCCTGTTACTATTTTGTATGTAGTGATCATATCACCTCTTTTTCTTCTGTCTTCTAGTTTTGGCATATTTAATGCTTCTAACCTCTCCTCGTAGCTCTTGCCCTTCAGTTCTGGGAGCCACTTAGTAGCATGTCTTTGCACCTTTTCCAGTTTGTTGATGTGCTTCTTAAGATATGGGCACCACACAACAGCTGCATATTCTAGCTTTGGCCTAACAAAAGTCATGAACAATTTTAGTATATCGCCATCCATGTATTTAAATGCAATTCTGAAGTTAGAAAGCATAGCATAGGCTCCTTGCACAATATTCTTTATGTGGTCCTCAGGTGATAGTTTTCTATCTAGAACCACTCCTAGATCTCTTTCTTTATCAGAATTCTTTAAAGATTTCTCACATAATATATAGGTTGTGTGGGGTCTATGTTCTCCTATTCCACATTCCATAACATGACATTTATTAACATTAAATTCCATTTGCCAAGTGGTGCTCCATATACTTATTTTGTCCAGGTCTTTTTGAAGGGCATGACAGTCATCTAAATTTCTTATCCTTCCTATTATCTTAGCATCATCAGCAAACATGTTCATATAATTCTGTATACCAACTGGTAGATCATTTATGTACACAATAAACATCACTGGTGCAAGAACTGAACCCTGTGGTACTCCACTTGTGACATTTCTCCATTCTGATACATTGCCTCTGATTACTGCCCTCATTTTTCTATCAGTCAGAAAATTTTTCATCCATGATAGAAGCTTACTTGTCACCCCTCCAATATTTTCCAGTTTCCAGAACAACCTCTTATGTGGAACTCTGTCGAAAGCCTTTTTTAGGTCCAGATAGATGCAGTCAACCCAACCATCTCTTTCCTGTAATATCTCTGTGGCTCGATCATAGAAAATGAGTAAATTCGATACACAGGATCTTCCAGATCGAAAACCATACTGTCTGTCTGATATTATATCATTTCTCTCTAGGTGTTCTACCCATTTAGTTTTGATTAGTTTTTCCAATACTTTCACTATTACACTTGTCAATGATACAGGTCTATAATTGAGGGGGTCTTCCCTGCTGCCACTTTTGTAGATTTTGTAGATTTTGTAGATTTAGATTTTGTAGATTTGTGTGTGTGTGTGTGTGTGTGTGTGTGTGTGTGTGTGTGTGTGTGTGTGTGTGTGTGTGTGTACTATTTGTGCCTGCAGAATCGACCTATTAGCTCTTGGACCTTGCCCCCCAAAAATCTAACCAATTTATATTTTTTCTCTTCTATGTGTACTACATATATTTCTAGCACACGCTCTCACACACTGCTTCCCCAGGAAGCAGACCGTAACAGCGAAAAAAAAAATGGAAGTGTGTGTTTGTTTGTGTTTGAGTACATCATCAAATTGTTCCTGGAAGCTCCAACTCGAATCACGCGTCCTGCTGACACCCGCCTTTCCTGTCGTCAAGCTCGTGACGCTTGACTCATCGTAAACAAGTTCAAGATTAAGTGTCACAATATGTATTCAATGCTGATACAATGAGAAGTTTGGGTAAACTTCTCTTGAAATCAGCGACTCGAGAGCTGATGTAGCCTCTTGCGGCTGGATTCATTAAGCACTAAATTAGTGACCATTTATGAAACCTATGCATCTTTACTCGATCATGGCAGCTTCGTTTCCATTTATTAAAGAGCTTACGTGTTCCGAAGCACATGAGATTGTTTTATAGCAACAATAACATTGTAGGTGTGAAGTTTTGAAACTCATAAACTGTCATTTTGCCTTTGTGAATGAACGAGACTGCCAGAGCGGCGCCACTCGATACGCTTACATCATGTATGTAACACTGCTTAGTAGTAGCCTAGTAGTGGGTGGGTGGGGAGCTGGACTGCTGCCAGGAGCCGCACACAAACCGGCTCTCATAATGAGTTTTGGAAATGGAAACTTATACAGCGAGTCATTGAATGTCTGCAGGAGACCGGAGGAGAAGCATGATATTATTTTACAGGGGCATTGCGAAGTACAGAGGACTGTCTGTGGAAACACAGGTGGTAGACCATGAAATACACAGCACAGAACCATGAGCGATTAACATGGTAACTCTTGTATCTTTCACTGTTAATATAACAATGCTCTGCAACAACAAAATTACCTCAAATCTTGAAGCGTAGCGTCACTGCACTTGAGCAAGAACATAAATATGAACATACAAGCAAAACAATGTGACGTGTAATAGTTTATATGAGGCAATGCTGATAATGTAGGGTGCACTAATTACAACCCATATATCAGTTGAAGTTGGTCAGGGTAAATGGGGGGGGGGGGCTTTTGACAAGCCGCCGGCTTCCTGTTTTCATCGAGGTCATTAGTGTTAACGGTCCTCGGGTAAATTTATGAATGCTACATACGTCCTTGAGTCGCAAACGCTCGTATATCTATAAAGCAAGTGTTTATTAATTGATAATTGTTGTGTGATTAAGGAAAGTTTTAGGTGTCCTTGAATATCGAAATAATTTTGTTTTGGAGTGTATAATTGGTGGTTTATAAATTGATAACCCAATTAAAGATTGTTGTAGTAATTGCCGAGTTCTTTGTAGTATTGTCAGTAAGACAAGGAACGAGCCTAGCTGTTGAGACAAGGGAGACAGGGCCAGAGGCAGGAGTCTAGCTGGATGATAAAAGTGAAACTGAGCAGGACAAGACTCTTCGCTCTCACTCTTGTCTGACCACACGCAAACCTCGCTTCTGGCTGCCTTTCTTGCCTGTATCCATTTCTTATTAGGTATCTCCTTAAGTAACATACAGTTTCGTTAAATTCACCTATGTCCCTAATGTTATTAAAGATTATACTCTGGAAACATTTCGGGTAAAGTCATTAGCCCATCCCTGTGAAATATCACCCTATAGTCGAATATCATATGTCTGTGGACGGATAGTGGTCAAAGACATTTTGATGCCAGGCGTCCTCCTGTCTGATCCAAAAGTCTATAGTGTTGGTGAACAATTTACTTGTTACTGCAGAGATACCATGTCTCCCACCATTAGTCTAACAATACCGGCGCTATGCATCATTTGCCAAGTCTGTATAAAAAAACAGAGGCGAACATTTGAGTTCGGCCTGCAGGGCAGAGCCCATCACCAGGACCCTGCCATTCGTATGCGAGGCTGGCTAGCATCAGAAATGCCTTTAGAAACTTGTGTAAGGAATCATTTAGAACATTGTATACCACATATGTAAGACCAGTCCTGGAGTATGCGGCTCCAGCAAGGCGACCATTCATTGTCAAGCACCAGACGAAGCTGGAGAAGGTTCAAAAGTATGCCACTAAGACTAGTCCCCGAACTCAGAGGCATGAGTTACGAGGAAAGGCTGCGTGAATTGCACATCACGTCGCTGGAAGACAGACTAGTTCGGGGAGACATGATCACCACCAGATACAGCCCCGCTCCTGTGCCAGGCAAGTCTACTACGGGCTCACCATAACCCGTGCTACTTGAAATTTTTTGTTCGGAGTAGCTGAATATAAAGCAACAGCAACATGATCACCACATGCAAAATTTTCAGGGGAATTGAAAGGGTAGATAAGGACAGATTATTTTTCACGGGTGGTACTCGGACAAGGTGACACGGATATGGAAACAGGGAAACAACCCCCCCCCCCCCCCACCAAATGAGCAACAGAGACATTAGAAAGAACTTTTTTTTTTTTTAGTGTCAGAGTAGTTAATTAATGGAATACGCTAGGAAGGGATGTAGTTTAGGCTAACTTCATACAGTTTCAAATGTAGATATAGTGCTCAATAAGCTTAGGAACTTGTACATTGGTAAATTGACAGTTGAGAGGTGGGACCAAAGAGCCGAAGCACAGCCCCCGCAAACACAACTAGGTTAGTACTATACTGTGCTCCAGGGTTGTCTTATTCATTTCAAACATGCTATCTCTAATGATGGTCTGGCTGTGTGATAGAAACACTGTGATCTTTGATCTTCACCTAACTGTTATGCATTGACAGGTATCTTGCAAGAGAAGTTGTCTTGCCTATATATTGAGACCGTTATGACTGATAGTCTCCAAATGAGCATATAAAGATAATAGATCACATTCGTCTCTTTCAAGGCATTTTGCTTGGTGTCGGGAGAGTTCTTCATGTGCAAGTTGGTGGTCTACTTGCTCTTGCAGTAAATCGTGACCTGTATCTCCTGTTAGCCTCTTTAGGGGCCACATTTCTGTCATTGATGTCTTTCAGGACTCTTTCATTCCCCCATCTTATGGTACGTATAAAAGTTCCTGTGAGGAGACATTCAACCAGACCCAGACAGACAGACAGACAGACAGACAGACAGACAGACAGACAGACAGACAGACAGACAGACAGACACAGGCAGGCAGGCAGGCATGATGGCAGACGACCCGTCGATCTGGTTTCCTGGGCAGTGAGAGTGGATTCGCGCGGTGTGAAAGGGGGTGGGGGAGGGATGTGTGGAAGGGGGGGTCGGTTAATGGGGTTCCCTTATAAGACGCCACCGTCCCCTTCCCCAACCCCCTTCACTCACAAACACACGCCCACGTCTGTCTGGGAAGGTACGTAGTTTCTACACGCACTGTGTCGACTGAGTGTTCTATCAGGCAGATGTCTCGACCATGTATTTCTTACGGTAAATTCCTTAGTCGTAGTTTATTAGATTTCCCGTGTTCTCCGCCAGGTAGAAATGAGCTATGACACATGTTCTTCAACAGGTAGAGATGAACCATGACCCATTTTCTCTACCAGGTAGAGATGAATTTTGACCCCTTGTTCTTCACCAGGTAGAGATGAACCTTGACCCAGGAATCGTGTGCTACCAACACTGCAATGGTCGGCTCTTCGGGTTCTCCCTCCCCCCGACCTGCTTCCTGTGTCAGGCGGACCTCAGTGTTGAACCTCTTAGCACCCCGCCCTTCAGGTGAGTCAAATTATGTCGTATTCCACCCTCGGTCTCCACTCTGATATGTTGTTGTTTAAGATTCAGCTACTGGGAACAAAACATTCCAAGTAGCACGGACTATGGTGAGCCCGTAATGGACTTACCTGGCACAGGAGCGGGACTGCTGATTCTGTTAACCAAGGGTTTACTTGGGTGTTCTAGCTCACTTCTTTCTTAAAATGAAGGATTTGTCCCGCGTCATCTGCACATCTCATTTGTCGTCGTCTCAATTTTTTGTTTTAAATTTCACTCCCTGTTAGTGATGGTTCATCCTTCTGCAGTCTCCACGTCTGTGTTCTCTCTCCTTCAACATGTTTCTTGACTCGACTTCCTCCTCCAACTGCACTGTGCACTCAAACATAACGCCGTGGCCGCTGGGTACATGCACTCTTGCATGCACTACATGGGCATCTCATGCACTCTTCCCGACATCAGCCTTATTTTGGATAAACAGTTGGTCAAGTGTTGGTGGTGGATCCTTTACCTCTCATCCTGTCGGCTCCATCATAACTTGTCAAGAACTGCTTGTCCGCTGTGTTCACCAGTTATGCTCCACCTTTGTTCTTATGTTCGTAAGCTTTTGAACCTCCTTCGTTACCCAGTCTATTTCTTCCTGATAAAAAAAATCCCCGATGATCAGCACCTTAGCTCTCGCTTCGGATATCCTTGAATCCATCTCCAATACCTTCGGACAGGTCTAGTTGCATTTTGTCATACTGCTCCCCAAACCTTCTGGTAGCTGGTGGTGGTGATGTAAGTAGCCGCCATCACCACCTGTGTGTCCGCCGCTGGTGCCGCTCCTAACATTTTGTCCTGCTGGTGGTGTCCTCTGGTAAGTGTATCACCTCACAACTCCAGTGTAGGTGTAGCAGGCCGGCTACACCACCTACACCCATGTAGGTGGTCATATTAAGACAAGCAGTTGGATAAAGTTTAGGCAATAATATACAGTATAAGGAAACTGTGTAATGTGTGGATTACACCAACTATAATAAGATTGTAAGAAATATTTATAACTAAGTATTAAATGGTAATAATGAAAGTCAGTTAATATAGGGATATATTAGGTGCGTAAAGTCATCATCCTCAACGACACGTGTCAATCATCTAGAACCATAATGTATATCAAAGTCGTCATCAAGAGCCATACTATGTGTCGAAATCATCATCCAGCACCATACTGTGTTGCAATCATCATCCAGCACCATACTGTGTTGCAATCATCATCCAGCACCATACTGTGTTGCAATCATCATCCAGCACCATACTGTGTTGCAATCATCATCCAGCACCATACTGTGTTGCAATCATCATCCAGCACCATACTGTGTTGCAATCATCATCCAGCACCATACTGTGTTGCAATCATCATCCAGCACCATACTGTGTTGCAATCATCCAGCACCATACTGTGTTGCAATCATCCAGCACCATACTGTGTTGCAATCATCATCCAGCACCATACTGTGTTGCAATCATCATCCAGCACCATACTGTGTTGCAATCATCATCCAGCACCATACTGTGTTGCAATCATCATCCAGCACCATACTGTGTTGCAATCATCATCCAGCACCATACTGTGTTGCAATCATCATCCAGCACCATACTGTGTTGCAATCATCATCCAGCACCATACTGTGTTGCAATCATCCAGCACCATACTGTGTTGCAATCATCATCCAGCACCATACTGTGTTGCAATCATCATCCAGCACCATACTGTGTTGCAATCATCATCCAGCACCATACTGTGTTGCAATCATCCAGCACCATACTGTGTTGCAATCATCCAGCACCATACTGTGTTGCAATCATCATCCAGCACCATACTGTGTTGCAATCATCATCCAGCACCATACTGTGTTGCAATCATCCAGCACCATACTGTGTTGCAATCATCATCCAGCACCATACTGTGTTGCAATCATCATCCAGCACCATACTGTGTTGCAATCATCATCCAGCACCATACTGTGTTGCAATCATCATCCAGCACCGTACTGTGTTGCAATCATCATCCAGCACCATACTGTGTTGCAGTCATCCAGCACCATACTGTGTTGCAATCATCATCCAGCACCATACTGTGTTGCAGTCATCCAGCACCATACTGTGTTGCAATCATCATCCAGCACCATACTGTGTTGCAATCATTATCCAGCACCATACTGTGTTGCAATCATCCAGCACCATACTGTGTTGCAATCATCCAGCACCATACTGTGTTGCAATAATCATCCAGCACCATACTGTGTTGCAATCATCATCCAGCACCATACTGTGTTGCAATCATCATCCAGCACCATACTGTGTTGCAATCATTATCCAGCACCATACTGTGTTGCAATCATCATCCAGCACCATACTGTGTTGCAATCATCATCCAGCACCATACTGTGTTGCAATCATCATCCAGCACCATACTGTGTTGCAATCATCCAGCACCATACTGTGTTGCAATCATCATCCAGCACCATACTGTGTTGCAATCATCATCCAGCACCATACTGTGTTGCAATCATCATCCAGCACCATACTGTGTTGCAATCATCCAGCACCATACTGTGTTGCAATCATCCAGCACCATACTGTGTTGCAATCATCATCCAGCACCATACTGTGTTGCAATCATCATCCAGCACCATACTGTGTTGCAGTCATCCAGCACCATACTGTGTTGCAATCATCATCCAGCACCATACTGTGTTGCAATCATCATCCAGCACCATACTGTGTTGCAATCATCATCCAGCACCATACTGTGTTGCAATCATCATCCAGCACCATACTGTGTTGCAATCATCATCCAGCACCATACTGTGTTGCAATCATCATCCAGCACCGTACTGTGTTGCAATCATCATCCAGCACCATACTGTGTTGCAGTCATCCAGCACCATACTGTGTTGCAATCATCATCCAGCACCATACTGTGTTGCAATCATTATCCAGCACCATACTGTGTTGCAATCATCATCCAGCACCATACTGTGTTGCAATCATTATCCAGCACCATACTGTGTTGCAATCATCATCCAGCACCATACTGTGTTGCAATCATCATCCAGCACCATACTGTGTTGCAATCATCATCCAGCACCATACTGTGTTGCAATCGTCATCCAGCACCATACTGTGTTGCAATCATCATCCAGCACCATACTGTGTTGCAATCATCATCCAGCACCATACTGTGTTGCAATCATCATCCAGCACCATACTGTGTTGCAATCATCATCCAGCACCATACTGTGTTGCAATCATCATCCAGCACCATACTGTGTTGCAATCATCATCCAGCACCATACTGTGTTGCAATCGTCATCCAGCACCATACTGTGTTGCAATCGTCATCCAGCACCATACTGTGTTGCAATCGTCATCCAGCACCAGACTTGTTGCAATCGTCATCCAGCACCATACTGTGTTGCAATCATCATACAGCACCATACTGTGTTGCAATCATCATCCAGCACCATACTGTGTTGCAATCATCATCCAGCACCATACTGTGTTGCAATCATCATCCACACCATACTGTGCTGCAATCATCATCCAGCACCATACTATTTGTCAAAGTCATCGTCTAGGATTGTGCAAAGTCAACAATACTATTTTCCTGAGAAGTGCAGATGAAGTATAGTGTTTGTGTGGTCCACAGAGTTCCTTACCCCTTCGTGCGAGCCAACCAGGCGCCCTGCACCATTGTCATCCAGCCCTCCAGGGGAGACTTCCTCCAGTAAGTACGCCTTCGCCGCTCTCTTCTCTCTTCTGGCAGATTTAACTGTGTTAGTTTCTGGCTGAAAAAGAGCACAAGGTGCTCATAACTCTGTCCTCGTGTATGTATCAACTAAAGGGGTTGGGTTTCCGGCTGCGACAAGGGGGGTCTCTCTCCCCCCCCCCCCCCCCATCCTTTCCAGCCCCTCTCTCTCTCAATCTTCCACCTCTCACCCTTCACCTTTTCTCCTAAAAAATCCTAACCCTTCTCGCTTCACTCTCTGCTCCATCTGTCTCTCCCTCCCTCTCAAAAACAAAATATATTACAAAATTTGCCTCGCCTCGCTTCCTAGACCATTCATCGGATGATTTTCAACATCCTCACAACTTGATTAACCTGTACAAGTATTAGCCTAAGTGTTGCGTGTAATAATTTAAGCTGCTGTTCATAGAAAATGCCTCGTAACTTTGCATGTATTTTGTCAGTGTGGGCTCTAGTTGATACACATCACCTGCAGTGACTACCGGAGCTCCAACGACCTGCACATTGGGGTGACAGACAGCGAGGGGCGAGTATTCGAGTACGACAGCGAGGGCCTCCACTCAGACTACACATCTGCCTGGAACCAGGCTCTTTCCGTACCCATTATTACGGACTCTGCCAACCGCCTGGACCCAGTCTGGCAGGAGTACTGGGACTTTACCCTTCACACCCTTGCCCAGAACCCTTCTTGGTCCATGGAGAGGTGGGTGGCTGGGGTCGTTAAGACGGTTGTGGCTGTAGTATTATTAATTTTGTTGGATTTGGGTAATCTTCATCGTCATTGATTATACTTTTGCAGATGCGTTAATTAACACAAACGCGCTCAAGTAATTTCTTGTTTCATTTTTCTTTTGTGGTTATATATAAAAATATATAAATGACAATATTTGAAACTTCCACTTGCAGGTATTCAGAGAGCTCCTTCAACTGTTATTCATTCGTATTGGAGTTTCTTCAGACGTTGGGGCCACCGGGTGTAAATGTGAAGACGTTGACGAAGACATCCCTGTGTGCCCAGCTCATTGTCCCTCACACGTCTGCTGCCGCTAGATATATCTCTCTCTACAGACGACTCCTTGACGAGAAGACCGTCGCCGTTACCAAATCATCTTGAGGCCTTTTGCTGAAGCCTGAGGTGAACTATATCATTTTTTATGGAAGATCTGCGAAATATATTGAGTCATCGTGTATGTCAGCGTCTTCTGAGTATGGTGATTGAGTTAATGTTATATTTGTCAACACGCAGACGATGAGTCACAATAACGGGGCTGAAAATATGAACCACACATCAGGAAAATGAAACAACAACATTTCCGTCCGTCCTGGACCATTATCATTGGTCCAGGACGGACCGAAACGTCGTCCTTTCTCCATTTTCTGATGATGGTTTGGTCATCATTTGTCAACACGTTTCCCGAAGCACTGTGAAGGATATATGATGATAATGCTCAAGATCGACCGGGGAGCCTAAACAAAAAGGTACAATCCTTGCCGCAGCCATCGCTCCCTATGCACCTCTGCTCCTCCTGAAGTATAATATTTTTCAAGAGCTTGTAATAGTTAAGCCATGTTGGCTAAAACAGACAACCTATAAAATAGAAAAATGCAGCTCTCAATATTCATTTGTATTTCGAAACAAGTTTCCAAAAAGCAGTATAATAATAATAATATTTAGGCAAGAAAACATAGAATGACACATGAACATTGGAGGATAAAAGTATATAAATGCTCTTTTTTTTCCTTTATATATATGATTTCTCTACATTTCTTTAGTCACAACAGTTTCCAATATGTTTTTGTTTATCCTGCATTATGTAATAAATTTGGTTTAGTTCAAATAATGTTTACTGAGATGAAATAAGAGAATAGAGTATTTCAATATGTTTATTTCATATACACTACTTGAAATGATGAGAGATAAGATTAGCAGTGGTAACGTTATGGAAAATACAGTGTATGACATGTAAGATTAAGAGTAGTGTATAGTTGTGTGATCGTGTGCAACAAGTTGATAACGAGAGTGGTTACGACAACCTAATCCAACCCACCCGAAACTAACCTACCCCACCCTAATAAGATTCAGTTTTGCCAAAAACAAATTTCAGCTTTCATTTCCAAAATGACAGAAAAATTAATTTATTGATACAAGTGCATATATATGTGATTCAAGAACAGGAAAATACACAAGACAAGTACAGTACAATGCATAATGTAACCCATCCTCAAGTTTAAATAGTTTTTCTAACTATGTGGACCATCGTACATATATCGACGTAATGAACAATTAGATAGTAGAATTTAGCAACTATCCACTATATAGCGTTCGGAAAAAATAAGCCAAAACCAATTTTAAATGAGAAAATCCACTGGGGCTGTGAGGCGACGCGAACCTTGGAAGTCAACTGGAGGCCCCTCCTGAAGTTAGTCCAAGTTTTACGTAAGAAAAAGCACTCGGGTGAAGGGTAAAGTAGTTCAACACAGTATGCCCCAACATTCAGATACACAGAAAATCACACTAACGAGATATACATCAATGAGAAAATCGCCTCAGCAGTGCAGCAGTTGGTAAGATAGCCTCTTATCCATTAATACGCAACATCTCCCGATTTGAAAAATGTCTGATATTGCTGACAGAGAAGTGATCCTGTATGAATTATCTAGAATGGATATAGGTGGTCTATTGTAACAGCTTCTTCCCCTCATCAACTTACCCAGGCTTTGAGCTCTGGAGAGGCTACTCCAGAGCGCAACTCCATAGTCTCCTGAGACTGATGGAGGCCTACTGCTATCCACTGTAACAATAGACCACCCATATCCATTCTAGATAAATCATTCAGGATCACTTCTCTGTCAGCAATATCAGACATTTTTCAAATCGTGAGATGTTGCGCATTAGTGTCTTCTGTCTCCATGGACAGTGTAAAAAGGTTGTGATACAATTGTGTACACTGTGAAACCACTGATATCATGGAACACTCCCATCAAATACACAAGGAAATCACAATAACGTGATATTTTCTATAGTTTTTAGGTATAACCAAATACAATAAATACTATCCAGGACCAAAAATTGAGTTGTGTTAGGTATGGCAGATGAGCACGCTAGCCTTACGACTGTGCTGGCCGCGCGCTGATGGAGATCCAACATTGTCTGGAGCCTTCCATTAATTCTAAGTGACTATAGTGTTGAGACATTTGTGCTGGCGTGTGCGTCGAAGCGTTGTATATTGTGAAGGTGTACCCATTGTTTGAGTACGGGTCATCCGACATAACTTCACACTCGATAGCCGTAACTTCTGAGCCATGTTTCGGAATGAGCTCTGCTACAGCTGTAACGAAGATTTGCACTTTTTCACTTTGTAAAATGAAACGAAGTGTTCCTGGCCAACAACAAGCAGAGACAATTATATCTACGATACTTTCCATCTCTGTGTTTTGGTAGCATTTTTCAGAAAGTTTAATTAAAGTTACACTGTTATCAAGACCATTAAACTTTTCCAAGAAAGCAGCAATGTTTACAATGTTCTGGCTTTCCTCACATGTAATATGTATAGTAACATTTTTAACATTTTGACAACTCATCAAGAAGAACGCTGTTGCCTGAGCTTTCTCTACTGTACTAAAGCTTGTTTCTAAAAAGCTTTGTAAGTTAAATTTAGGTAAAGTTGATTCTTTTTCCAGAATGGCCTTGAGCCCACAGATATCACTTTCACAGTTTATTTCGAGGTTAGTGAGGCAGCCTCGCTCCGATACAAGTGTCATGAGTCTGAGCAGCTCGCCAGAAACCGTTTTAAGACATAAATAGAGTTGGTTTGCAATCTGCAGGGAAGTATGTTCAAGAGTACACAGCAACAGTCCGGCCAGGTCAGAACTGATAGTGTAAACTATTTCATTTACCAACAGAGGCAGAGTGCTACTGATGACATGGTGACTGTATTCACATTCTTGAATGAGATTTCCAATGTTCTCCCACCTGACTTCCGGGGCATCCAGCAGAAATGCAATGTCGGTAGCAATTTGTGGGGTCATTTTGTTATGATTACAGAGGAAACTTGCCGTGAAGATGATGGTCTCAATGTGTTTGAGGTAAGCTCTGGTCTCTGTCACCTCTCCTCTGAATCCACGAATTTGAAGGACTTGGGAACCTTTGATAATTTTATGATATAAATATCGTGATGCGAGGAACTGTTGCATTAAGTTGTGCAGGAACTCCCACACTATCACAGAGGATCCTTCACTGCGATGACATCGTCGCAACATGGCAGAGAACATAGTCATTTCCTCAAGTTGAAGATTGTTGCACCTGTCCATGAGTTTTTTGGTCCTTTTGTCTGTCAAACCCGTGACGTTATCGAGTAGGGACAGCCACGCTTCGGTTCCCAGTGCAATCATCCAAATGTGGCACTTTTGTCTCAGAATTTGAGTGTTTCGCATTTCATTCTGTTTCTGTCTTAATCTTTGCGTAAGGCCATCTAGCATATTAAGGAACAAGCACGTGTACAACTTTGTCTTTGTGATAACTTTTTTCACTGTTTTAGCGTTTTCCTCCCACAGTTGCACTACGGAAGCTAAGTGTAGGGGCAAGCGCGTTAAGTCATTGGCGAAAAGTTCACATTGACGCAGATACTGTAGAAGGCTCTTTACATTAATCTGGCGACTACTCGACATTATCCGAAACATCTTTCGTATATACTCTTCGCGATTAACAACACTGAATCCTATTAATTCAGCGTTCTTCCAAATGCAGAGTTTGAAGCCGTGGTGAGCAGAAATATCATATGAAATTTCAGAGGAGAACTCCGGCCGAGTGGTAATCAACACACGAGCTGAGGGAAGTTTGGCTATAGCTTGGCGGAGAATTGCCTTAGCTCCTGGACCCGCCTCGTCCCAGCCGTCCACTACCAGCATAATTCGCACATCGCGCAACAACGGCAACACGTCTTCCCTTGAGATGTCTTGCAGTGTGTTTTGTAAAAGGTCCTCTGTGACGTAATCTACTAAGGTGCTAGAGTGAACGTCAACACACCGGACTAGAAAGAGCAAGTCGGTGGTGGCAAGTGTTGGTAGGGAACATGGTTGGCGAGTCCAGCAGTACACGAGGTAGCGACACAGACAAGTCTTGCCAGCACCAGCCACGCCCTGTACTACAGTTAGTCGGGCTCTCAGGCTGTGTTGTGGCGGCACCAGGTCGTCTACACTCATGAACTCCCGAGAGCTGGCACAGTTTACTATCTCAGGAAAAGTGAATATATCCTCTATACGAATTTCACTTTTTGGAATGTAATTAAACGAAACTGTTGGTAAAACAATAAAATATTCATATTGGACACATAGTTCTTTTTTACCATTGAAGATGATCCATCTGACAAGTTCCTGTCGTGTCTTTCGCGACTCTTCAAAATTCTTTTGCATGACACTGCTTGTACACAGCTCCGCCCTGAGAACCCCTCGTATCTCACGTTCCATTTCTTGCTTCACTACAGCCAAGTCTTGATTGGTTTTTATTTCAACTAACTGTAATATTTCTCTCAACGTGGCCTCCAAACTTTGTATCTTGTGCTTGAGCATTTCATCGCATATGTTTGTGACATCGTGCATCACGAAGTTTCGATCATTTTTAATCTTGAGCAGACAATACTCCAGAGAGTAAGCTGGCGTCTTCCAGACGGGGCTCATCGCGTCTTCCAGACCACACACGTGTTGGAAGAGTTTATACAGGAAGGTGATGTCTTGTTGTTCTGGTTTCCAGGACCTGGACAGTATCTTCCGGTCATCAGCAGTGAAAATCTTTTTAATTAGTGAGCTCGAGTAACCAAGAGAATATTGGCAAAAGTGGAGAACATCGTCATCACCCACTTGCGTGAGGGCGCGGTATGCGTGCGCTAGCGTCTTCACAACGGGCCCCTGGCGACGCATTGTAGTGAAGAACCGAAGGACGTTTACATCTTCGCCTGTGATGCGAGGCTTCGGGGGCAGAACAGGCGGCGGTCTTAAGTAGTAGCGCGGTGCAAGTCGAGGATTGTCACTAGATAGGCTATCATGGCCACAATTGTCTCTGGTGCTACTGTTCTCAGCCATTATACTATAAGACTCCAGCTGGGGCCTCTCTTCACCTCCGCAACCACTCAACAACTACTGTACTGCACATGCGCATTAACATATCCTCTCTTTGCATGTCTACGTAAAATAAATTATGCTGTTTGTTTTGCGAAAAAAAACTAATTTACTGAATTTAAAAAATGTATCGTAGTAATAGAATTTGTAATGGTGAAAACTTTATGTTAACCGGTTTAAATTTTACCTAAGGAGAAAAACTATAAAATTATGTGTAAATGCTATATGGTAAGTTTAAAACGTTTTAGTGCTGATGTAGAGTGCATATCCGGTTGATAAAACGAAAACTGAGAATTGGTGGTGGTGGAAAAGGTTAAATAGTACATGGCTGAGGAACTGAACCCTTAAATTCATTCAGCTAAGCATGTTACAGCCTTGATGAGCTAGTTGCATAGTTTAACATATTCAACAATTAACAGTATTCACAGTTTATAAAACTATAACATCATGATGACCCGTAGAGGACCTAATTCAACGCGTGAGAGTTTTCATGATTATTATGGTCCACATTCCAAATCCTGCAGGAGAGTGATAGAAATGTTTCGGTAAATTTAATAATGTGTAACTTCCAGAGGGTAAGTAACACTGAGGAACTACAATTGGCGAAAGTGCTACTTTGGGTAAATTAACAATGTAATACAGTAACATTGTATGAGGTTAATATGAAATACATTAATTTTGGGAATACAACACAATTAGAATTTGGCGATTACTACACGATTCACCGAGGGTGATCGTTCCGTCCTGTCATGTTGGCTGTCCCTTCCAGTCGTCCACTGAGTGCAATGGCGCTTAGTAGCCCAGCGATCACAGGATGACGATAACACATACACTCAAACATCAGCTACAACCAAGGACTACATTTGGGCTAACATAGCGGCCCTTCTTGCTTCTGCTATGATCACTGACAGAACAACCTACCACTATCCTATCTTCCTCACAGCAAACATAATACTTTGTCCATATTTATCCTTTAACAAGCCGCCGGCTTCCTGTCCTCATCGAGGCCACCAGCATTAGTGGCCCTCAGGTAAATTTAGGTAAATGTCCATGTTTGCCATTTTTTTTTATTGGGGAGGGCATTTGTTTATACCTATCGGTGGAACGATTTCAGCTACCATTGTCCTGTTACCTAGCAGTAAAATAGGTACCTGGGTGTTAGTCAGCTGTCACGGGCTGCTTCCTGGGGGTGGAGGCCTGGTCGAGGACCGGGCCGCGGGGACACTAAAGCCCCGAAATCATCTCAAGATAACCATGTCGAGAATTTCCGTCTGGGTAAAGGTGTGGGTTCCTCGGATTCTCACCTTTATCTACTAAATCATGGTACCTGTTGAGGTGTGCCATGAGCGAGGCTAAAGTCAGAGCAATTCAGCTGGTACTCCGAGACGGCACCGCTCCTGTGACAGGTAAGTCCACTACGGGCTCACTATAGCCCGTGCTACTTGCCCCGCTCCTGTGCCAGGTAAGTTACGGGCTCGCCAT